AGAAACCCTGGTTCTCCTCTCTGTTCCCTTACTGAACAGTCTGCTCCATCGGCCGGAGCTACCCCGACAGCCGGGGGCGGGGGGGCGTCGGCGTCCTTGTCCCTCGTACCCTGTGGACTCGTTTTCCTCAAGTGGCATTTAAATGAGCCCAGGCCAGTGTTTCAGGGTGGCCCTGGAGTCCTCGTTCTTGCTGATTCTCCCCGACCAGCCCCGGGCCCTGGCTGTCCCCGCGCCCCGTGTGCAGGGCCGCCGAAGGCCAGCACGGGGCTGATTGGACCTCGTTTTCTGTGGCTCTCAGAAAATAACCTGTATTTATTTTGAAATCATGCTTTCTGCCTTTTGGTTCTATATAAATATAATTTCTATTTACTGTAGAGAATTAAGAAAACAGGAGAGTGTACAGAAGAAATTTAAATAACTTATATTTCTGCCACCCAGAGAGAACTTCTGCTAATGTTTTCTTTCAGGCTTTCTGTGCATATATTTATATAATTGAGATCATTCTGTATATACACTTTTAACCTCTTTTTTTTTTTTACTGAGTATCACATTGTGAGTAATTTTGTTGGGCTGCGGGCGGCCCACAGGAGAGCGGCCTCTCCGCTTCGTAAACGTGTGAATAACTTCTCCCCTAACGCGATACGGCTGTTGGGGCAGCTGCGGACACTTCCGCTTCAGCTGATGGATATTTTTGAGTCCTGAAAGTTTTATGGGGTCTAAGATCACAAATACTAGGTTTTGCATAAAAGTTTGGACTCATGACAACATATCACACAGATTGTTGCTGAATCAACATCTTAGCCTGCTTTGCATAATTCTTTATGGGGGTGGAACATTACACTTTATCCTGTGATGCTTTCCTTTGTTTAGGTTCGCGTTCAGGGGACTCTGAGAGCCATGGTGGAGAAGCTCTGGCGGGGGCGGGGGCAGGGGGTGGGGGGGGGGCTCCCAGGACGCTTCACAGAGGGAGACTGGGCCGGTGGGTCACATGGATCTCCCAAACAGCCAGGTCGCAGTCCTTATCTCTGGAAATGCTGACCGTGACCTCATCTGGAAACGGTCTTTGCGGAAGTGTCAGGTTAGGGTGGGGTGCGCCTGGAGCAGGGGGCCCTGACCCAGGGTGACTGGTGTCCATGGGAACAAGATACAGCCACCAGCATAAGACCAGACCCCTGGACGACAGAGGCAGAGATGGGATCGATGTGTCTCCTGGGAGGACAAGGATTGTGGGACCCCCGGAAGTAGGAAAAGGTGAGGCAGGAACGCTCACAGAATTTTGGAGGGAGGGTGGCCCTGAGGCACCTCGGTCTCAGACTCCCGGCCTCCCGGAGCGTGGGATAACAGTTTGTCATTTTAAGGCACTTGGTTTGTCCCAGGAAAGGTGCGTGGCCTCCACACCCCTCTGCCGCCTGCCCGCCGTCACGTCCCTGCTCCCAGACCCTGACCAGGACAGAGAGCTCCCTTCTGTCCTGACTGACACGGATAGCCAGGACTAACCTGTGTCCAACCTGTTCATGTGATGGTGGTGACTTCACAGAGGAGGGCATAGTACGTGAGGTGTGGCTATTCCTGGAGAGTGAAAAGTCTCCAAGAAACTTCAGAGAAGAAAAATGTTCAATTACAGTTTCAAAATATTCTCAAGTACTCTCACCCCCGACCTGTTGCTGGGAAACAAGGCTGGATGCCCACCGTCTGGGAGCGCGCGCTCGTCCACGCCCACCCAGGGCCACAGCCCGAGCCGGCCTCCCAGGAGCCGATGCTGCGCCTTGCGGGCTGGGAGCTGCCAGGACGTCCCAGCGTGGGAGAGGCGGGCGGGGGATGGCGTGTCCCTCATGCTGCCCCTGGAAAGGCCCAGGTGGGCGCCTGGGCCCAGGGTCAGCACACCAGATCGCAGTGCCCAGGACCTGGCCTGGGGCCCTACTCAGAAGGCCCCACCATGAACTTGGGGGTCTATCTGCCTCACATCTCTCCTTGCCACTCTCCACTCGGTGGAACGGACACTCTGCAGAAGGGGCAGGACCCAGGAGCCGGTTCCAGCGCAGACAAAGCTGATGCTGGGGGCGCTCAGCCTTGGGTAATTTCCATTTATTTTTTGTGACTTGTTTGTTGAGCTGGTTGTACCTATAATTGAGCTGGTCTGTCTGTAGGGGCGGCAGGCAAGGTGCTTCAGAGCTCCCTGCCCCGCCTGCCAGGGCCTGGTGTTGGGCGGCAAGCCCTCAGCCCAGAAGTCCCATGCAGCCACATGCTGTGTGACTGGGTGGCACAGGACTTCACACGTGTTGATGGTCTTCAGAAGAGGACACCTCACAGGTTTGCTTTATGCGGAGGAAGGAAGCGGGGAGAGAGCAAGGGGCATCCTTGAGACTCAGATTGGGGGTGCTCCGGGGGAGCAGACGTGAGCCCATGCCTGCCCCTGCCCTTTGTCCTCGCCTGCTGGTGTGCTCAGTGCCCGGCACCTGTCAGTCCCCGGCACTCGGGCCCGCCCCGCCTCTCTGTGCTGATGTCCATCAGTTACGGACAAAGCGGACGCAGCCTCTGGCTGCTTGTGTGGCGGTCTGCGCCCCGGTTGGTGATGAGCGCTCTGGGTGAGACACCTGCCTTGGAGAGGTCAGACGACGGAGACACGCCCCCGACGTGAACAGCGGGGCCGGTGGCTGGCTGTGGATGTGGAGTCATGAGGACAAAGCATTTCTCCAAAGACAGCTGAAGTGACCAGGCCCCCCGCTGGCCGGAGTTGCCAACATCGCATCCAAATAAAGTGTGGCCTAAGCTCTGAGTCATTTTCTGATACTGTCATCGTTATTTTTCGGGCTCTTTTCTACCAGAAAGGTGGCTCATTGCCTCTGTTCTTCCAGTCAAAGGGCTTTGTAGAAATAATTTCCTTCCTAAGAATTATGTAGAGGAGTTACCGTCCAGGATCGTCCGGGGAGCCTTCCCTCCGGAGGCGGGAGGTCGGTGCCTATTTGGCAGCATCACCTGTGACAGGCGCTACAGAAGTGTCCCTTCCCCGAGGCCGTCAGTGGGACCCGAGACCAGACTCGAGCGTTGCGGTCTGGTGTGCGCCCCCCGCACCGGGCACACGTGGGCACTCGGGGGGCCGCTGCTCCTGCAGACAGGGCTCTGCACACGGCGGCGCCTCCTTGGGACGCGGGTGTGAGTTGTCACGGTTACCTGTGAGGACAGTGCCTCCATGCCTCTCATGGTCACGAACGAGGTTCAGATGGGCCCGGGCTCCAGGCGGACGCTCTGGCCACACAGGGCTGCCAGAGGCGGACAGGAGCAGAGAGCTGGCCCCTCTGCCTGCCAGGGCCTCGGGCGGCACGGGGTGGGGGACACCACACAGGTGCGAGTTCCTACAAGAAGCCCGGGCCCGTTCCCGGTGACTGGCCTGCCCCCAGGCAGGGACGATGGTGGCTGCAGGGGAATCCCCCCGCCCAGCTGAGGTACTGCCTGCAAAGCTGGGGCCCTGGTGGGACCCCAGCCCCCCAGACGTGGCCAGCCCCCTCGCCGGAGCGGCTCCTCCGCTCACGCAGGACGGCATTCCTGCTGCCTGATTAAAGGCATTTCTTCTGTGAATTAAACCACACTACAGAAACCCCAAATTGTCCTCGGACCAGCCACACAGGCAGCCGCTCCGAACGCTGGGCCCCAGGCTGGGCCCGGACCACCCGGGATTGGAGCGGCCTCGGTGCCTCTGTGGGGACCGCCAGTTCCTGTGTGGGGTGGGCGCCATTCAGCGATCACAGCAACAGTTACAAGAAAAGCTCGTTTCCCTGCTGGTTCCCATAATTGCCCTTTCTCAACCCAACGCGATTTGAATGGAAAAAAGCAAATATCATTTGGGTTCCCGTTTTCCTCCTTCCTCTTACTATTTCTTCTCTTGCTTATAGTCAGTAAAGGTGCACGGTGGATGGGCCAGAAAGCTCGGTCCCCTACCTGGGGACCCGGTGTGAGGCTGGGTGGGTGTGGGGGTGGCAGGCAGGAGGGACGCTCGGGAGTGAGGCGTGGCTGTCACCGTACGTGGGGGCCAAGCTCCTGTCTCCTCCGAGGACACGCACACCGCACCTTCCGTCCTCGAAGCAAAATTGTCCTGTCAAAGAGAATGACTGGGACCTGCTAATGACAAATGCCATCCACAGTCAAGCCTCTTCACAGAAGATGTGCACCTGACGCCTATGTAATTAGCCTCTGTCACCCCAACAAATTCAATAAAAACTAACGCATGTAACCCCAGAAGGAGGCCGGGGGGTCGGGCACTCGCCGCACACGGCGCCCCCCTGCCCTCCCTGTCCTGAGACCCAGGCCTGAGCGGGGCCGCGCTGACCTTGAAAGGTCATGGAGCTCATTTCCACAGGTGCTCGTTTCCAGGACTCGGGAGAAACGGAAGCCTGGTAGGAGCGTGATCCAGCAGGATGCGGGGGGCAGGGGCCCAGCCCTCCAGAAGAGGGAATATTGCAGGCTGAACTGGAAAACTCTGTTCTCACTCACCCCAAGAAGAGCACACTGGGCCCCAGAGATGGGCTCTGGGGCCCTCAGCCCAGGCTGGCAGGTGCCGTGCCTCCAAGTCCACAGACCTTGTGTGGCGCTCCGAAGGCACGAGTCCAGCTGGACAAATGGTTCAGTAGGAGAGTGGGGGACAGTCTGCGGGGAGACAGGGGCTCTGCAGGACCATGGGAGGCAAATGAGGTGGCTGGGGAGGGCAGCCCCCTGGGACAGGGCGGTGAGGCCCCCACCCGCTGAGCCTGGGTTGCCCTGCACAGGCGTCCCCAGGCAGGTGGGTGCATGGAGGCGCCAGTGATGCAGTGTTGGCTCAGTGCAGGGGTGGGGAGGATACCAGCTGTCCCCAGCCCATGAAGTCCAGGGGACAGCAGAGGAGGGTGGCCCAGAGCCTGGCCCTGGCAGGTGAGCCAGCCCCCAGATGACTGGCCCACCCTCACTGGTCCTGGCAAGGTCTCCAGGCCTGGTCCCCGGCAGGTGAGCCAGCACCCGGTCCCATCCAGGCACCACCGCTGAACCCTTGGTTCTGTCTCTGCCGTGGAACCCGGACTCATCCCTGATCTCCGAGGGGCTTTTAATGAAGAGTGTGAACCGCTGTTGGCTCTACACAGACCCTTGTGAGGAGGAGGAGGTCTCGTGGCTGCCCTTGTATCGATCAAAGCAGGTCGGAAGCGCCCGGCCTGGCCCGTTCCGGTGCTGCGAGACAGCCTGGCACCTGCTGGCCAAGTGCGGGGGAGCCGAGAAGAGGGTGCGTTGTGCAACGTAGAACCAATGCCGAACAACGAGAAACACTTCCCTGGGTGTCGGTCCCAACGCTTTCGGGCAGTCAGTCCCCCAGCAGTCAGGCTCCCGTGCGCCCACGTCCTGAGGGCGTGACTGAAGGCCGCGGGGCTTGTGCTCCAGGCCGGGCGGGCATGAAAACGCCGGCTGGGGGAGAGGACTCCCGCAGGTGCAGGGAAACGGTTCCAGCTGTTATAACCACCCCGGGTCGGACACGGCCTGACACCTGACAAACTGTGACGGCGTGAGAACGGCTTTACCCGTGCCGAGGGCTCTTAGAAAGAACGGCCTTTATTCCATCATGTGAGGAAAAACCCACCTGGCAGCACTGAGCCGAGCTGCAGCAAACTGCCCGTGGCTCCAGGTGGGAAATGGTTACAGCCTTGGCAGGCTGACGTCGGGCTCGGACCGTGGACCTGACGTTCTGGGGGGACAAAGAAAGAAAAACTTCGCTCTGGTCTCCACAGCCCCTCCTATGATCTTCTGCCCTGGGTGCAGTCCCCCACGCTGGTGCTTCAGAGCAGCAAGTCGGGAGGCCAGAGGTCTGGGGGTCAAGGTGTCCCAAGGCCACGGTCCCTTCAGAGCCTCTTCCAGGTGCTGGCAGCCCTCGGACTGTGGCTGCGTCTGCCCTCCCTGTGTGTGTCCCAATTGCCGCTGAGAGGTCACAGTCCTCCTGGATTAGGGGGCGTCTGACCTCATCTTAAATCCTTAACCTTCGCGATGACTATTTCCAAATAGGGTCCACTTCACAGGCACCCCAGGGGCCAACACGTCTTCTGAGGAGACACAGTCCCGGGGCCCGTCCCTGAGCACTTGGTGAGTGTGTTCCTTCCCAGCAGCTTCTGGGGCCGACCGGGGAGGGAGATCACGTGAGGAAAGTCGGCCCTGCCCCCCCCCCCGCCCCCACAACCCACGGGCCGGCCGCACAAACGCGCGGAGAACAGCTGCGGCCGTTGTTGGCGGTGTGGAGGGCAGCGTGGCCCTGGCAGAGAGTTCTTGGGCCCTGGGTGATGTCTGTGAGGCCCTGCCTGTCCGCGGCAGGGGCCCCCAACCCCTGCGCCCGGCCGTGGCCTCCCCGCTCCAAGAATGAGGTCCACTCGGCCCCGACAGCTGCTGCCACAGGCTGCGGGAGCCCTGGGCCCCTCCCCTGTCCTGGTCCCCAGGCCAGTGAGACTCCAGGGCCAAGCCCCGCCTCCGCCTGCTCTGCGCCCCAATGAGGAGCCCTCCCGCCAAGCCTCCTGCGAGGTTTCCCGGAGTCCTACCTCTCCCACCCTATTTTCTCTTCCTCTTCTCTTGTCTCGTCTGCAGCCCCAGACCACGGGTTCCCCCAGACACGCTCAGCCCCGGGGGCCTGGCTGCCTCTGCAAAGCATGGGCTTGGTGGTGGCCTGCTAGACACAGTCCTTGTCCGAGGACACCGCTGGAGTGCCGCCGCCACCCACTGAAGGAGGGACGGTTCTAGGTCACGTTGTACGCAGGGATGCAAGGCCCCACGTGTGGGGAGACAATTCAGCCACCGCGGGTCCACCACCCCGGCTCTCCAGCCCCAACGAGTGCAGTTCCAGTGGGCGGCGGCCGGGGGTCGCCGGGGTCGTGCCATCACGTGGGTGAGGAGAGGCGAGGAGAGATGAGCTCCACGTAGGTAAGGGCCTTGTGAAGGGGCCATTCCAGCGTCTGCCATTCCACAGCATTCCTGACGAACTGGTTGTTTATTATTCCAATAAAATCATATTTGTCTTAACCACAAATATTTTCCAGTTCAACCTACATTCCATAGAAGACCAAAGGCAAAATGGATGTGGCCGAATGAAAATGAGTAAGTTTTGGAAAACTATAAAAATTTACATTTATTTTTCCATTTTTAAACCCAAAAGTGGTGTGAGTATATTCTTTGCAAACTCAAAGGCTTTGCAATAGGTGAGATTCAGTTCTTGACAAACTACAAAGACGCAAGGCAAGGCCTTGGCGGCCCCAGAAACAGCCTTCGGAGCTGAGAGAGCTGCCCGGACCCCCCAGAAACCACGGGCCCCGTGAAAGGGGGGCTTCTCGGCGGCCCAGTTCTCGGCGGCACGGGGCTCGCCGGCACTTTCCCCACGCTGCTCCGAAGGGAGCTACTTGGTAAATCATCCTAAATACCGGCCTGCATGGCAGATTCCCGGGTCCCCTGGTGACGTTACTCATTCTCCTGTTGCTTTAAAAAACAGCAACGCAGCTCACGCCAAGCTGAGTGGAGCCGGTGGGCCAGGCCCCAGGCCGAGCGCCGCCGTGGGGTGACCGGGTGGGGCGGCAGCGCCGGCCATGCGGGCCAGGCTGGCTGACGACATTGTGAAGTGAGACTTGGTTACTGGGAAGGAGGCTGGGCAGGTTTTTCAGTTTCCAGAAAGGGGGAAAGTCAAATTTAAAAACCAATAATGTTCTGTTTCAAGGACTTTTCAAACTTAATTTTTTTTTCCTTTTTATTGAATTTATCGAGGTAATGCTGACTAATCACATTAGATAGGTTTCAGGTGCACAGTTGTGTAACGTCATCAGTATATTGTATTCCGAGTTCACCCCCCCTCCCCGAGTCAGGTCCCCTTCCCTCCCCCCATACCCCTCCCCCTCCCCCCGTGGCAGTCACCACGCTGTTGTCTGTGTCCCTGAGCTTTTTTCTGTTTGTCTTTTTTGCTCATTTCCTCTCAAAATTGTTTTTAGGAGCAGATGTAGGTCATTAAAAAAAATTTTAATAGAATCACTAATCTTGTCAGAAATCAGCAAATGGACCTGATATTTTGATCTTTGGTTAGGAATTTCAGTTTTGTACACATTTTTATAAGTGGAGGAGATGGTTCTACCAAAGAAGTAGTAATTATCTTTTCTAGCTAAAAAATGTTTTTCTGGACAATACAATCATGGTTGTAAGCCAGCGAAGTGTTTTGATGTCTTTCTCTAGAGATGGCGGGGGCTGTTTCCCGTCCTGGGGAGGGGCGGGTGCATGCTTGGAGCCTTGACTCACGGGGAGAGGAGGTGGTGGGATGGGCGCCTCTTCCTGTTTACCCGCCGAGTCCAGTGGAAACAACGACGCGACCTCTGCTCCCTGACGGCTGAGAAGACGAGGTGTCCACGGAGGCGGACCTTTGTGTGAAACGGGCACCACCGGCAGGGCCCGGGGATGGAGCGTGGCTCCTTGAAGCTGAGGTTTCACGGGTTCAGAACTACTAATCGGTTCAAAGGCCAACACACCATTGCCAATTTTATGTTTTTATTTTTTGCCAACTAAATTTACTATCATCGTCATTTCACTTGAGGAAAAAAGTCAAAAAGGAGAAGGGATAAATTATCATTCTTTCTGAAATGACAGTGTAACTCAACGCAAAAACTAATAGCGATACTTGTATCTTCCTCTGGGGTAGGATGTTTGGCAGAGACTCATCTTCCTCATCATCTTGTGTGTGTTTGTTTCAATGGGTCCAGTGACGGCCACTTCAGGCACCTTTCAGAGTGGAGCTGGGAGGCTATAAGCCACCGACAATAAATCCTGAATATATAAATTAAAAAATATCAAAATCCTAATAGTCACATCATTGGAGTGTCTGGCAAGAGCGAGAATTGTGATGTTTGGAGAAAAATTATTTGAAGGAATAATGACTAAGAGCTTCCCAAATATGGTTAAAGACAAAATTTACCGATTCAAAAATTCAGTGAACCACAAATAGGATAAATTCAGGTAATCATGCTTAGATGCATCCTGCTCAGAATACTGAAATGTAATGAAAAGTATTTGAAAAGGTGAGAAAAACAGTTTTTCCTGGGCCCAAACGAGTAACATCGTTCTTGTCTTTTTAGAACCCCGTCGGTAGTTGTCTCTTTGCCGGAGACATTTAAACCAACAAGCAAAGCGGAGGGAGGGGCGCTTTGGCTCCGGAAAAGGATGTGCAAAACCTGAAGTGAAATAAAATTAGTGGGTAAATTATCTAAATATTTGGAACCTCAGACAAATATTTGGTTTCATTTTGAGGCCCATCAACAACTCTGTTGCTTCCTTTTTTATCCCCTGGGGCTCAGCATCACCCTGGGTGCCGGCCAGCGAGCGAGGCTACTCTGAGGCGGGTGATGAAAGGCACGCAGAGGGTGGCTGAAGGGCTTGTGACTCTCTTGGAAGCCGGGGTCCCAGGTGTGTGTTTACAAGCAATCATGCTGCTGACCGCTTCGTTCCCTAACTCTGAAATGACATCATTTCCCAACTGAGCTCCCCTGCCGGCCTCCTGGGGTGGTGTCCAGGCGCTCTCCCCAGCCTGGAAGGTCTCTGCGACCATGAGGATCTGCCCCTGGGTCCACAAGCCAGTCCCCTTCTGCTATGCGGGTTGCTGTCCAGGGGTGTCCAACAATTGGTGTCTCTGGGCCACGCTGGAAGAAGAGTTGTCTTGGGCCACACAGTACATGCATTGTGACAGGTGATCACAAAACCTCATAATGTTTGAAGCAAAATTACGATTGCGTGTCGGGCCGCATTCACAGCCATCCTGGGCCGCGTGTGGCCTGCGGGCGGCGGGTCGGACTCCCTGCGGCCAGTCAGAGAACTAGGTCTCTGCTGGTGACACTGTTGGTGGCCAGCAGGTACCTGAAACCTGCAAGTCCCCTATGGTGCAGAGAAGAACCGTCAAATGCATGAGATGAGGCTTCCCCTATTGATAGAAGGCGTGTTACTGGCTTCTCTCCTTCACGTCCTTGCAAAACTCCAGCTTCTGATTTCCTAAAATGTATCATGGAAGAGAAAAATGTCATCAAGAGGAAGTATGCATGGAAACAAAGACATGAGATGAGATTCTTTGGTTATGGACACACGGGCAACACAGGCTTGACCTATGTCTTCATCCACAGCAGGGTCCGTGGGAATCGGCGCTGGCCGCAGGCTGACCGTGGCTCCGCGGGACCGAGTTTTGGAAGCACAGGGTTTGCCCTGACGCAGGGGGACCCAAGAGAACCGAAG